GGGAGGGGGGGCTGAGGGCACCCTGCCGGGCTCGGCGCTGGCCTGGGCACCCTCTGAAGGTGGCTGCCGCACAGGCGGCACATGGCAGCGGGGGGGCAGGGGTGCCAGGCTGCTCTGCCCCGGGGGGGGAGGGGGGGGGCCCCCTGCCGTTCGCTGCCGGCAGGGCCAGTGCCAGCATTCGCCCCCGTGCTCGCTCTGGCCTTTTGCCTGGGGTAGGCAGCTCTCCTCGTTTTCAGGTTGCCAGTACTCGGAGTGCCTACGGTAAATCGTCTCTTTTTTTTTTTGCAGTGAAATGGAAGGAGAGGTCAGCACACTCCAAAACCAAATCAGGAAAGGTTTTCCTAATAAATACAGGAGTCTGAGGCATCTTGTTCATTAACTACTGTAAAAAGACCACTTAGGCCATGATACCCAAAAATTACCATTAGAATGATAAACCATTAGTATGGTATAGCAGGAGCTTCCAGTGTGGCTTCCCTAAAGTAACTCTGTGCCTTCTTCATCTATTAGAACTTGTTACGTATGTCAGTAAACCAGTAGTTATGACAAACGTCCTGAGGACATAAGAATACAAAGGACTTACGAAATCAACACTACGGGAATGGCTATTGCACGAAACTGTGGCATATGGCCTTTCTCATAGGTTGACCAAGCTTGAATTTAGGAGTACCCAGGCTTTTATTTTGGTATGACTGTTCATTTTGGATAACTGTGCCAGAGCTCACTTTCTGCGGTCATTAATGATCTTTTAGTTTCAGTCCAAATTTATTCATGGCCAGTTAATAACCGTTGTTGTGCCTGCGATATCCTTTACATAACAATCCTCCCTCATGGTTCTGCCTCATAGTGTATTTGGAGTGAGCGCTTGTGGCTTCTCATACTTGATTTTGTTAAATTAAACAAGCTGGTTTGTAATACCGATTTTCAGTTTCCTTGCGCATCATAGCTCTTCTCTGCATCTGTTCGAGTTTCAGTTCATCTTTGCTGAACACTGCTGATCAAAATTTTATGATTTCAATTTCTTTTACTTAAAAAAAAATTTTTTTTTTGAAAGCTCCTTTAAAAAAAAAAGACTCTACAGGAAGCTGGTAGTCGTTAGGCAAAAACTATGATGTAAATGAGAGTTCATACTAGCTGATCACAAAATGTTAAGTACACGAGCATTTCTGGCATAGCATTCTTATATAGCAATGCATTGGCAATATTCTTTAACAAAACCAGTGGTTAGAAATGGATATGTTAAACTGGATAAAACCAACAAGCAATAGCATACCGTATGGCTCTGTTTCTTTCTGGTGACTTGTGTTTTTAATGGCAGTTTAATGGATGTTTGTCTGTAGTACATCTTTAATTCTAGCTTTCAGCACATAAGGCTTCATCTTGGTGAGCATTCCTTTCTTTTCCAGTGAAGCTTAAAGCGATACATGGGAGATAAAAGTTGTTCACCACCTCTCAGGATTGAACTAATCTTTCCTGCCTGATGTTTTCATTTTAAAATTGCACTGTAGGAGCTGCATAATTTTAAATTCTCTCATACAATTAACTTTCAGCTGATTCTTAAAAATAACCTTAGCTTGTTCTAAAAGTCTCTAACTTGCATTTGAAAGGAGCGTGCATTGAAAAGGTGCTGCTACTCCTTACTGATTAAAGATGCTTTCATGTAGTTAGTGTTTTTACTGGAAGAAATCAGTTATTCTATGTAGTCTTTTAAAGAATGATAAATTATGAAAATTCACTTCCTAAGCAAACTGGGTTGTGTGTCGCGTAATGAAGACAATGTAGGGGGGAAGCTGTGTGTGCTGAGCAGTTTTAGTCTTACCATAGATTGCATATTACTATTCTGGTATTCATACCAAACATCTATAGAATTTATAGCTATTTAGTTACATGTTTAATGTAAACAATTTGACCGAGATTTCTTCCTGAATTTGGATGCTTAACTATAAATAGCCTGACTTTTAAATATGTCAAACTCTGCAGCTCCTGTTGACCTAAATGGGATCTGTGCATATTCAGCACTCTTGAAGATCATGCTGCTTATTAGAGACCTAACTTTAAATCCCTGTATGTATAAATATAAGTAGATAATAAAGCATTTGAATTACTGACTAGTGGTATTTTGACCATCTGTGTGTGGGTTTTTTGGTTTAATATCTACAAGATAACAGTACTTTTGCATTTCAGGAAAAGTAATAGTTGCAATAAATTGGGCTATGAGAGGGTTGTATTTCAGGATAATTTTATGTTCCAACAAGTGTTGAAATAGGATGACAGACAGTTGTCCTTCAACGAATTCAGCTTCATTGTGGATTTATATTGATTTCGTGAAACAGGTTAAATAGTTTGAACTAATAATAAACAACTTGGAATGTAATTTTAAATTATTTCCCATTTCTTGTATTAAAATAACACTTACCATCTTTGTGTTTCTATAAGCTATTGCAGATCACAAGCATCTGGTAAAGTAATAAGCGGAGAGGAACATTTTTCAAGCAAAAAGTGCCTGGCTTGGTTTTATGAATATGCAGGTAATACACAATGGGTTCATATTTAAAACTATATGGTTTTGTTTAAAATAAATGAATACATCAAATATTATTTTTTATACTGATGTAGACATAAAAAATATGTCTATATTTTCTTCCTTACAACATGCACTTGAATAAGTATAGCTTTTACTATTGCCTTTTCAGTATTTGTTCTTTTTGACTTTTTCTTCTTTACTCTATGCTTTATAACTTACCATGGTGTTCTTTAAAATGAAATGACTGATGTTGGACAGTACAGTGTTGAACCAGGATATGCTGAATAATTCTACTTCTTTATTGGAAATGGACAAGTAGAAGTCAGGACAGTGAGAGGCAGTTTAGATAGAAGTTTATTTCTCTAACTAGATCTTGTTTATAATCAAATTGGAAGGATAATGAAATAGTTCTCTTGGTTTTCTATTTTACGAAATAAAATAGTAGATGCTTATACTGTTTTTCCTATCTGAGGATCCATCCTAACATTTTTGATATTCTAAATAACAAATGTTTCATTCAGAAGTGTTAGAAGTAGCCTCTTTCAAATAAATCAGAATTGCTAGCCAAGTAATAGTTGCTTTCAGTGAATATACAGTGCACTTTGCAGAATTTATTTGACTATTACTGCCATTTATCTACCAATTATATGGTTAGAAATTCAGGATCTGTGAACTGTTATTAATTTCTTTTCTTGTCTAGTCACTACTTGAAGTCTATCATAACTAGTTGGTATTAAAACTCATTAATGGCAGTTCTCAGCATGAAATGAGCTGAAGATTTATCTGCCAGCAGTTGGTTATTTATCAGAACTGATGTTTTCCTTGCAGTCTTTCCACAGTAATGAACGACTCCTGATTCTAGTAATCTGCTTTCTAATATAGGTTTGAGGCATACTCTTTTGGAGTAAAGAGTCTTTTCTGAGGAAAATAATAATTCTGAGTTAATTTTCTTCCGATAAATGCCCCTGCACATACTTTTAGCTTTTTTAAGGCCTGTAAATTTTGGTTTTGTTGTTGAGTCAAGAACTGAGTGTAGGAGGTTATACTTTGTTAGTTCACCAGTGATCAAAATATGTCACATTTCTAGCATTACATAGAATTCCAGTGAAATCGTACACCATAGGAGATTAAATGTTTCCATTAAAAGAGAAAATTATACACATACACACACACACACACACACCCCTATATATGTATATATATGAATTGTACATACGATTTTGGGGCCAAAAACACTGATTCAAGTTTATACTTGTCATTACCAGTGAACCTTTGTATGTATTTCTCTTCATAACTTAAACTTGCAAATTTTTTAACGCATTCTACATAAGGGCTTCTCAAAACCAGATGGCAGTGTTTTGCTTACCTAGGCAAAATGTTCTTTGCAACATTTTTCAAGAAGTAGGGGTTCATGATCTTAAATGCCAAGTTGCATTTTATTTTCCTGTAAAAGTAGCCATTCTTAAGAATTTTTATTGACTACATTCTTACCTCGCAGTGAGTAATTATTCAAAGTACGTTATCCAAAGTCTTAAAAAGAATTGCAGATGAAGCGAAGACAGGTATCATCAAGCAGAAAAGAAGGACTGTTTTGTCTATGTAGAAATAGCGAAATTTGCCAAAAAAGCATAAAATGGCGTGTTGTTTTAGAAGGTAAAGCCTTTACCTTTTACATGGGTTCATCTTCACTAAAACAATGTTAACATAATGATCCAAGACACATCAAAATAGCGTGTCATAATATTTGGTTGCCCAGTAGGAGTCACTTTTGGAACAGGCTTAGCAGAAATAACTGAAACAAGGAGAGATTTAGAGAAACAAAGCATTGTAGAGTGTGTCTGTATGTGGTCTTCGTATATGCTATTTTGCTGCTTTTTAGAGGCTTTCTCTGTGTTATAATGGAAAAGTGACAGCGTAACACTAACTGTTGTGGTACTGATCAAATTATTTTCATTGCAGTCATAAACCTTTTTCTGCTTTGTACATGGCTAACGTGCTTAGCATTTTTCTGATTTATTATCGCTCTCCTCATGCTACTCAGCATCATAAAACTAACCTTACATTGTTTGAAGATTCATCCTCTTCTGTGTTAGTGCAATCCCATAATGTTAACACCACTGAAAGAGTAATATCTGTAATAGCTCAGACAAAATTAATTTTTTTTATTGTTGATAAAATAACTCTTCGAAGAACGTTATTCATACAGTAACTTCAAGCACAGAGTAGCGATACCCAAGTTGTATTAAAAACAATTGGCTGCCACAATTATTGCAGTTGAGCTATATCAATGGGAAACTCAGTGGAGTCTTTTGGAAACTCGCATACACAAACTAAAATAACTTGTCTGCTGTTGTGGGGAGGCAGTGCACAACATGAGAGTTCTGGTTTAGTTTTGCTTTTAGTTCATAGTGTTACTTCATATGTAATATACACGTCTCCATATTACAGTTGATGGAATGGTTCTAACATAAAAGCTACTTAATAATGTAATTCAGTGGTTTTTAAAGACAGCTTGTATGCAATATCGTCTAATTATCTTTGTGTGTAACCCTTGAGCAGTGAATGTTACTTAGATTTCAATCTAGTTTCTTTTTGTTTTTGAAGGTCCTGATGAAGTTGTGGGGCCCGAAGGAATGGAAAAGTTCTGTGAAGACATCGGTGTTGAGCCTGAAAATGTAGGTTTCTTGCACAATACTAATAACACTTTAAAAAGGGGTATTGGGTAAGATTAAGTTCTGTGTAAAACTCTTAACTTCAATAAGCAGAGAGTTGTTTATCTACCTGCTTTTAGGAGTTGTTCTAAGATATTTCAGCTCAATACATCAATTATGCATGGCTGGTGTGTGAGGATTTTTGTTTGTTTTATTATAGTAATACTTCATTTTCAGGAACAGAAATTAAGGGAAAGATTGCACGTAGCTGAATTATTAAATGGCAACAAATATAAAGTGCAAGCGTGTACAGCAATTGCTAGAATGTTTGAATGTTAAGAGTTTTTTTCTTGGACATCTAGAAAGCAGCCTTTTCTTACATACTGACTTCTTTTTCTCCCCTTCTGTTTTTCCTCCCCCTAGATTATTATGTTAGTTTTAGCCTGGAAACTAGAGGCTGAAAGCATGGGATTTTTTACCAAGGAAGAATGGTTAAAAGGAATGACCTCGTTACAGTAAGAGTATTTTTACATATGTAATAGAACATTCTAATTTTATGTTTGTACCAGTAACTTAATTATTCTTGCACTCAGTTTCTTGTGCATTGGCAATAAGACACAGAAACTCTTGCTTTTACGTCTGGTCTCAGTCAACAACTGGAAGTAGCTACTCTTGTTCATCAAGTTGTGAATCTGATGGGTTCACTCGAACGATGAAGTTTTGTCTAACCCTAATAAGTCAGGTTTTGGTGGCTTGTTTTTCTTACAAAAAATATGTTAAAATATCATTCTAGTTAGCAGACACAAATAAGGAGATCTGGAGATACCCATAGGCATATCTCAGCACTGGTATTCTAGAAAGTTTTTACTGATTTCTAAGCTTTATAGATGAGGACTGCATTGATAATAATTTCGGTTATTGGTGTTATTGATTAGATGCAGGTCAGAAGACGTGCTTAATGCTTAGGTTAAATAACACTTCTTCAGTGTATAAATAAACTTCTTACTCCTTCTGTTTGTAAGAATTTTTGGTGAGATAACGCTCTGCCTAAAGAGGTTGTTTCTTTCATGAAACTGATCAGCTTTTTGTGAGGCTGACTTCAGTTGTCATTTTTTGTTTTTTCTTCATGAAACTACTTATGGTACATGAATGTTTTAAGGGTGACTGCATTCAATATTAAAAACGTCAGGGAGCTACTGTTGCAGCTACAGCATGGTGGGAAAGAGGGGCTGATTTGACCCTTGGAGTTGGCCCAATTGCCCTATCAGTTGTGAATTGGTTTGGGAAATTGTATTGGGTAGATACCCTCTGGTTATTCCAGACTATGGAGTAAGTGACTCTGGCCTGACTCTCTTGTCCAAATCTTATTTGATTTGGGATCAGGCTTCTGATAGATGCCTTGATTGTTTTGTGACTATCAGAAGCTCTTAAATTTAGGAAGAGCTGGAATGATTAAATTGCCTGAAATTCAGGATGACAGAGATGAAATTCTGGGTGTGTAAATTCTTAGATGCAGTGAGTGGGTATAATTTGGTCACTTCTCTGAAGTCCTTGAATTTTATGCCCAAATGGAAGCTCTCAAGAGCTAGCGAGTCTAGTAGGATGCAAGCACAAAGGTGGATGAAATCAGGCACCTCTTCAGAGCCAATATTATAGACTTTGTTTCTAATAATCTGCCATGATTAGGAATCTTCTGGCTCTTTTAAGAAGAGAGCTGGTCACGCTGTAGGCTAAATGTTTTTAAGACAGAAAATATGGTACTGCTGTGCATTTTTATATAAACAGACTTTTGATCGGAGCACGTGCCTAAGTTAAACCAGTTAACCTGTCTGTTTTGCTTCCCCTGGGTGTGCTTTAATAGCAGGCTGTAGACTAAGCAGCTGGATGAAGCAGTGACATTCACGTAAAGAAATTCAAGATTCATTGGCTTAAAAAGAGAATATAAGTCTGTAGACTTGTGCTGTTTGTGCTTACTGGGAAGGGAGGATCATGTTATAGGATTCCATCTGGGATGGGGAAATCTAGTTTCTTTTCAAAGATTTGACAGAAGTTTTGAAGGAGAAAGATTTTACGCTCTTAAAGCAATAGAGTATTATTACATTCTTGCACAGCATTGTTTTTTTTTAATTTTTGCATGAAGAAATTACATTAAAATGCATTAAAAGCCCAAAGTGTATTCTAAGTCAGAGTTATATTACAGAATCCTTATTTCAAAATATGTGAAATGTCACATAAGGTCATGGCATGAACAGGGTTGGGTGAAATTCAGCTCCATAGTAAGACACCTAAATGCATGGTTTGTATGCAAGAGCTGGATTTCTTAAACTCTTACTGCAGTCTTCAGAGATCTAGTCAATGTAGTGGAGCCTAGGGAGGTAGTCAGTTTGCCCTAAGACCTAGTGACTGGTCACCTGAATTGTTCTTATGGGTTGGTTGGCTAGACCTCTGTGAATAGCAACACCTGAAGCTTAGACACCTAAATCTAATGCACAGTTAGATGCCAACATTTGGGTGCCTGGATCTTGAAGTGACATTCTTTTTGTGTGTGGTTTTGTGATACGCTGATTAAATTTGTTCTTTAGAGAGGAGGAGAAAAATAAATATGTGATAAGGTGTATGCTATCAACATTAAGGTGAATCGAGCACCAAGTAGCAGTTTATGAGACTTAAATGACTTAAGCTGTGAAAGTGACATTTCTAGTATATTGTGTTGGTAGGGTGAATTCTGCCATATATATGTGTGTGTGTGTGTGCGCGCACGTGTGTATGTATGAAAGCTGGGTGCCTGAATCTAAATTAATCACCTGACGCTCTCTTCACAGCCAGCAGAGATAAGCAGGTACCTCAGCTGGGCAATTTATTTCAGCTATTTTAAACACCCCCTTAGGATGAAATGAATAGCCCTCAGGAAGTGACTCTTTATCTACATTTGCTTTAAAGCCATTGGAGGGTGAATAACTTAGAGTTGAGCATTTTATTTTACATATCTGAGTTAAAGGAAGCATACTCATATATTTGTCAATTGTAGGCTTTACAGACCTACAAAGGAGAAAAAAAATCTAATTACAAAATGAAGGTGAAGGAAAAAGGATTATAATTCATGATTTTATTAAACCCCACAGAAGTCATTGTTTGAACTAGGTAAATACAAAGAATTTTGTGTGTAAGGAGGTGAGGCGTAAGCAGCTGTGTTGTCTGTGTACTTCCCTCTGGCTATTTTTTTTAACCTTAGAATTTGAGCCAAATTTTACATTAAAGTTGAGCTTTTGAAAATGAGTGGCCAGGTAAAGGGGAGAGAGCCAAATTAGATTTCAACTGAGGGAAAAATTAAGGTCATGACCTCACATTTTTAGGTACCAGAGAAACCACATGGGAGGGGGAGGGCAGGAAAGTGAGGTTTGTAATTTCTTGTTGTTTACAGAATTATTAGTAAAAACAACTTATTTGGGTTGGCTTTAATGATAGCGTCATATCAACTGCTTTTCCAATGAGCTCTTTGCTTGTTATTGCCTTTCTCTGTTAATGTTTGTGAGGCTAACACAAAGCATAGTGTAATTTTTTTTTTTTTTTTTAATGCCAGTATAGCATTCAATGTATACTGGAATCTAAACAATTTCTGGTCTCCAGACCTGTAAATCAATTGACCTAGTGAAACTATAGCATTGTCAGGGCATGGAAAAGATGTCCCTTTGCTCTCTTAAGCCATTATTTCCTTGGACCTCTGTATGCTCCAGTTATAACATGGAACCTAAATTTCAGAAGATCCTGTTTCAGTGCTTGAAGAGACTGGATGGGCTAGATGGCTATCATTTGGTTTTTTCCATCTGGAGGGCTAGGTGATGGCAGGAGAACTCCTGTAGATTAACAGACCTTCAAACTACTTTATATACTACCATTAAATGCTTTTGGTTTAATGTTTGTATACATCTTACTAATTTTTCTTTTTAGTAAAAGACAAGCATGTGTGAATAACTATGAAATAGGAAACATTGGAATATCTGAGTAGGAGTTACTGAATCATCGCTCTGTGCATGTTAGCTATGCCTCAAATGAACCCTCTACCTCAATGGAAATCAAAATAGGACTGCTTTGTGGTGCTAATTTAAGTTTTATTATAAATATGATACAGGGATGTGAAGAGAATGTGGTAAGCTAATGTCTGGTTTTGTTGATCTTGAGGTAACCTTATTTAATGCTATTTTTCAGTAAAGACAGTTCAAGAAATCACATCTTTTTCTAGTCTCTGTACAGGAGTTTGGTGTTAATTCACTTGTGCTAATTAGAAGGTTGTTCTGACTAAATACTGACTAAATAAAAAAATACTGTTAGGAAGATTATTCTAAGTGCGGGTGACCTCACTCATCTTGTTTATGGTGCAGCCACACAAGCAGCAATATCTCTATAAAAGAGGAGTTTGACAGCTCCTTACCTCACTAGTGTGAAGAAAATCAGTGCCCAGATGTGGAAATGCCTTAAATGGCTTTAACAGAGATATGTCCCTGCATGGGGCTTCAGAGGGTGGTGCCTGTCTGTGATCCATGTGACGGTTTGGTTTTAAATAGGTTGACAATAGCTCGGGAGTCTTGAGGCTTAATAATTGCACGTTTTCATACCGACTTTTTCAAGAGAATCACTTCTCCATTAAAATACATATAGCCAATAGTACAGTAGACAATAACAGAAATTTTACTTTGTACTTAAATTTATGATTATTTAAACAATTTTAACAAAATACTTTGTAAGGAATTTCAACATAATGAAATTTGTCTTTATCCGTGGTATGGTAAATAATCTCAATCAAATTATATTTGACAAAATGTGTGGTAAACCTGCTTCGATTATGTTGTTAGTGTACTAACAACAGGAGCATTTAGTTAAGTGTTAAATAGGTAGATTTGTCCTCAAAGATAGAGGACAATATTATTGCAGTGTGAAGGTTTGAACATAGAAGAGAGATGAATATAAAGTGAGATGCCTTTGTAGCATAGCATAATACTGTTTTAAGGGTTAAACGATAGAATACGTAGACCAATTAGATGGCTGAAGACAAAAAAAGTAATTTCATTGTCAGTTAAATTTACCGAAGCTTTTTTAACAATATTTCTTTTCAGCTTGATGCATGGTTTATTGAAAAATATATTCGTTCTTGTCATCTGCATATGCAGCCTAATTAGCTAATAGTTTATTTATTTAGCACTGATCTTGGCTGGGACTCAGTGCTGCTTTAGGTAGATGCTGCTAGAGACAAGAAATAACAAAGGGCTCCATTGGCTGGAATTGCTGTGTTGTCACAGTTTGAGAGGGACGGACAGACAGACAGACGTGCAGGCACAGGCTGGCAGACCTGAGGAACGGGAAGTATCGGCTGTGGGCAAAGTACAGCATCAAAGCACAGCATCTCAGCAACCTGCTGCGGTACTCCCGAAGGGCCCTTGCTGCTGGCTGCTGTGACGAGTCCATGAGGAGCTGTTAAAGATGCAAATGTATTCTCTGAGAGGCAGGCTGCCAGAAGGGGGACACATTACCAAAGGAAATATTTATGTACATCTGCATTTCTGAAAGTATTGCTTCTGTCATGAAGGATACGGGGCAAGGTGGATTTTTTTTTTTTAATCATGGCAGCTATTATTTTATAAGAATAAAATGTGACATAATATAACAGCTGTTCTTTTGAGTGAGTCTTTACTGGAGGATTAGCATGTGTAAATTACATTCTCCTCTGCCATTGTCGGTGAATCTAACCCATTTTCTATTTGGAAACAAAAGTCCTTGCTAAGTAAAATATGTGGAGATCTTTTCTGCTAAAGGGTTATTTTTGCCAAAGGATTATCCTGTCAACTAGCAGACCTGTACAGCCTGTGAGTTTTCAGTTGAATAGCTACTGACTAATCCAGGTGATAGGCTTATCAGAGCTTGCATTTATCAGTCATAAAACACGAGCAGACTAGTATGTTTTGCAGAGTGCCTGCTCAATCCTGCCACTTGTAAACACGTAGTCTTGAAGTGTGTGTTTAGGGTTTGTTTTTTTCCAAAGTGATATGGCATAAAGCCCTTATTTTTTTAAATTTAAATTTAAAATCCACCCCTTACAGCTGGATTTTACCACCTTAATGCACACTGAATACTGTTTTCTCCAAACTTTCATAGTGATTGCAAGATAAGATAGTGCCGGTATGAATATAAATTGCAGAGTATGGCATAAAAGACTACTATCTGAGAAGTAAAGCAGAGACTTTGTATTATGTTGCTGATACATTTTAAAAAAACTTGCTTACAGAAGCCAGGCATTCATCATTTCACTAAGCTGCAAATGTTGAGCATGTTCAGTGTTCTTTTAAGTCGCTTCCATAGTATTACTCCTGTACTGATGACTGCATTTTGGTGATTTTAATTTTTTTTATGGTTGCTGGCATTTTTTTCATTGTCCAAATGTTTTGTTTTGAATTTCTAACATCATTTTTTTTTTTTTATTTTAAGGTGTGACTGTACAGAAAAATTACAGAGTAAATTTGACTTCTTGCGGTCACAATTGAATGACATTTCATCCTTTAAGAATATCTACAGATATGCCTTTGATTTTGCAAGGGTAAGACTACTGGAATGTTAGAGAAGTTCTTATTTTAATTATTCAACAAGCTTGTACTTGAGTGGTTTTTGTGCTTTCTTTATTTAACCTTAGGATAAAGACCAGCGAAGTCTTGATATTGATACTGCAAAATCCATGTTAGCTCTTCTGCTTGGAAGAACTTGGCCACTGTTTTCAGTATTTTATCAATACCTGGAGGTACAAGTTTCCTTGACTTTCTGAATGACGGCATAGTAGTTGGGCTGTTCTATGAAAAGATTTTAGGGTTTGTGTTTTGCCCAAGAATGCGTCCCTATTGCTATTCTTCCCTTGCTCAATGTGCTTATGAAACAGCGATGTTCTTGTATGCATCACAGATCCTTTTCTCCCTCCCTGTGCCCCACTCCCACTTCTGTTATCGAAGGCAACTAAAATTCTGTCTTAATTAGACTATAAAGGTAAATTGAAAATTAAATAATAGAGCCCCAGTAGTCTCTCCAGCTGCATCTGTGCTGAATTTCAAGTTTGCTTTGTGTAGGTACAGTATGTAGGTGCCTTGAGCTCTGGTTGTCTTTGGAAGTTTTTGGTCAGCTCAGCTGCAAGTGACTTAGAAATATGGATGTGTGTAGGTTGTGGAGCATGCTAGGCTTAAGACTATTCCCCGGCTAACGTTGGAAAGTAGATGTCCTTATGATCATACTGTATTGTACCCTGGAGACAAGAAGATTTTTGTAATCATTTATTCTGGAAATATATCTGAGCTAGGTATGCCCCAGTTCAGGACAGGATGAAAATTTACCAGTTTCTGAAGCTGAAGAGTGGTGACTTCCTGATTCCCTGGATCAGATTTTGCTCTGATCTCTCAAGAAACCATTTGATGTGGTTTCAGAACTATGAAATATGTACATGTGTAGTATTTTAAAAAATGGAAACCCAAGGAACAGTAGCCATTGTTACCCATTAAGTTGTTTGTTAGGAACTGATTGAAGATAAAAGGAGAGAAATAAGATGCAGCATTACCAAATGTCACTTGACATTTTAATGTTCTGAAATTATTTTCCCTAGCAATCGAAGTATAGAGTTATGAACAAGGATCAGTGGTACAATGTACTAGAGTTCAGCAGAACTGTCCATGCAGATCTTAGCAACTATGATGAAGATGGTGCATGTAAGTATTCATAACATTTTGCTTATTCAACTATTATTTCAGTATTTTCAATTTGCATAAAACAGATTTCTATAACAGAAACAGTACTGTAAGGAATAAAATGTTTCTTCTCCAATAATGCATAGAAAAACTGTCCTGATAACCATCCATCCTCAAACTGCAGATATTAATTGTAGTAGTATGTCAGGGGTATGATCGCGTACTTGAACCAACTTATATTCAGTTGAGGATCTAGTGAAGCTGCTTGCTTCACCTGAAGCTATAGACTTGCAAATAGAATTATAAACAGCAAACTCTCATTTTGTACTAATATATAATGAACTCTAGTTTAACTATACAGTAGCCTAGCTGCTGGTGCTTGGGGCTGAACTCTACACCTGGCTGATAGTCAGTCATACTATGACTGAATGGCATTAGGCATCCCATTTTGGTCCATGTTCTAATTATGTGCGATTTTGAAAGCTCTAGGAAGAAGGAATTAGTTCTGCTGATTTACAATATAACCTTATTTTTATGCTTTCCGTTCAGTTCAGTGCATCTGTCAGATGTCAGGAAGACTTTTTTCCATAGTTCTGTGTAGTGTTATTTGTGCACTTTTTGCCACCTTTGGATTGAAATTATTGTAGTCATTTTTGAGTCTTAGTAAGCATTTGACCATAGGATTGACATGGATGTTACCTGACCAATAGTTTTAACCTTCGTACTTTAAGAGAAGATGTTTGAAAGACATTGGCAAATATAACTCCAAGTTTCATCCGTTTGCAGGGCCTGTACTTCTGGATGAATTTGTTGAATGGCAAAAAGTTCGTCAAGCGTCATAGCAAGAATTGAAAAGAAAATGCAAAAGTTTTTTTTGGTGCCCGCCTGTACACAAACTAATGAGAAAAACAAAAAGATTGCATTTTCATTCTTAAGAAAGACTTTACAGTAATTTTTTTCCTTTTTTAAGGAAATTTTCTTGTTACACATGATATGGGCATTGAACCACACCTCTTCGGAGACTGAAAGTTGGGAGTTCTTGTTTTGAGTCTTATGTTTATAGCATTTATTTCAGAACAATAAAGATTCAGATTTGTGACAAAGGCCTAAAAGTGAAGAATGTCCCTTGAATGTGAGCGTGGTGTCTATTTTTAAAACCAAATCTTTAAGATTATCTTTCTCAGAAGTGCCCTTCGCTGTGAATTTTTGAAGACCTTAAAAATGCTTAACTGGCACTGTTGCTTGCTGATGGTATGATTGTCTTGTGTGACAAACATTAGAAAGAATGACTGATTTTTGGAGCCCTGGGTGGGAGTGTGCTAATTTGCGTATTAAGTATTGGTCATGGGTTGTGCCACAGTTTTCAGCTCCTTGTGGAGATAAAGGCCTTAAACTCTTATTTTTTTTTTCTTTTTTCTTTTTTGTTCAGTACCCACCCAGTGGCATGGCATTTAATGGCAGGCCCTTTTAAAGCAGAAAGGTGTAGAACATATGGCTCTATATGCAGAATGGCCGAAAACTAGTTGCCTGTACTTCAGATGGTGAACACGGATACTCTTTGGTACAGTAAGGCAGCTTCAAATTTTTACTACAACTTAGACTTTGGATTGCTTTGTATAAAAAGTGCAATTTGTATTTTAAAAGGGAAAGCTGGAAAGACTTGGTTTCAAGCTGTGCTTCTTACGTGTTTTAGACTGGAAGCATTCACAATGTGACTTTTTTTTATCTCCCTGGATGCTTTTCATAATGTAAGTCAACAAGAGACTATTAAATCACCTACCTTTCACCTGTATATAACAGGCTATTAATTTTTACCCTGTTACTCCATGTATTGAGTCCAATAACTACTGTGATTGCCCTTTTAGGCACTCAGTATTTGTGGCAACCTTTAAATACAGTAGAAGTTTGTCACTCTGCCTTCCCGCCCAGGAGGCCCAATGCCACCCTTGAGGAGAAAAGGGATTTTAATGAGTAAATGTGAGAAACCAAAACAGAATGAGAGAATGAAGCATTTGCAACTTCTACTTTATTATATAAATATATTATGTAGACTGTGATAATGCCATGAGACTCAGTCAGTGATCAAGGCCTCATTGTGCCAAATATTTCAACAGCTTGAAATAAGAATAGACAATGTAAGCTAGGCATGACTTGAAGATCTTTGCCTCAGGGAAATGACTTCCGTTTTGCACATCCCTTATTCAGACTAACAAGCATGAGTTTTCCTATCCTTAAGGAAAGCTTTATTCCCAAGATAATTTTTTTTTTAACAAGGAGGGGGAAAAAAACCAAGAAAAGGTGTGAGGAGAAATAATAATAAGTGGGACAAACTAGTGGTGCGTGCCTGTGCTCTTGTTCTGCTAGAGAGGACCACTCTTGCAACTTACTCTCCAGACCTGCTTGCTGTGGCCTACAGGAAGCAATGCAGTGGTGGTCCATGGGCTGCTCTGCAAGCCACCTGATAGCGCAATTGAACCTTAGAAGCTTGGTTCTGCCCAAGTGAAAAAAAGCATTGGGGGCAGGAGGGGAAACAGTTGAGATACTTGGAAGATTTCTGCTTGTACAGTGGCTAGTGTCTGTGTGTATGCAAACGCATGCACTACAGCTGTTCTAAATATTTTTCCACCTTTAAGGGAAGTACTTAATTTTAGACCTCAATTTTAGACCTTGTGTAGGCTACAGCAGTTCTCTGCAATATGTTGCAAGTTGTCCATTTGCATTGCTGATAATTCTGATTTCGCTCATAATGGAGTGCCTTTCATTTGGAAATTGCCCTACCCCACAGGAAGTTAGTGCCAGAATGAGATTAACTTCAAGAGTGCCGAGATCTACTGGTAGAGTAAGGTCCTAAGATGCACAAATAAGCATGCACCAATTAACTTACGTCAAGGGAAGTACTACTGTATACTAAATCTCTGCAGGGGCACTGATTCTGAAATGACTTTCTCGAGTACAGTGACTCTCCTTGCTTAGTATGTTCAGTCCCCATTATAACTGGGAAATTCTCTTTCCAGAAGTTTTGAAATACCAGTTAGAAGACGAATATTTTATAGTGTGATTAAAAGGAAAAAAAATCATCTTTTTTTAGGTAACTGCGAACTGTTGTGAATTCAGTTTAAACCAGTTGGTTTAAACCACCTAGGGGATGGTATTAGTGTCTAACAGTAGGAGTGATGCATCTACCAATCCAAGGTGGTCAAGTAGTTACCGTTAAGGTGTAAGACACTATGTGATGTATCATTTGTATCTCTGTTAAGGTTTTATCAGTATTCCTATAATAAATCCATGTTTCAGGGATTTATAACTTGGTTGTGTGTGTGATTGAAAATCATCAGTTACTGTAAAACTTTGACTGGGAATGAATGTATTTAAACTACTTAAAATCAATATAGTTTTTCAAATTTGAATAAAATAGGATTTTAAGTTATGGTTTTGTGCTCAAAACTGCAATCAGATTGATTGTTTAAATGTGAACTAATGGCTTGTACAGTTTCATTGTGAGCTGATTGCTTTTATTAGCTGTTTTTTATTAAATCACCTTACAGCTTACTGTGGATAAGTGCCAAAAGCTGTTTATTTATTTTATTTTTTTTAATTTTGTGCATGTCCACAAGCCAAAACAGAGTTCAGCTAAATGCTTCTTTAGTCTTTGAACTTTAATTTTGCTTTGCTCAGGTGCATTTCAGTTTATTGAGTTAAAAAAAAAGTATCACCTTATTTTTCAGTATTCTAAGATGAAGGTTCACAGGTGAAATATGCTGCCACAGTTATGACAAATAATAAAATCGAAGGTGAAATGTCTTCCAAAACTAAATCATAGTGCTGTCTATCTTGATGTTATGAATTTCACTTTAATCTCAGTTTCATTTCTTGATATTAATTCTTCCTAACATAACTAATTTTTTCTAGTTTTCTTAGACAACTAACAATTTTGGGTTTTAAATCTGAAAGCGCCCACCTGTTCATGGAAAAAGCCATACCGGTAGATTGGAATGTAATATTTCTCCTATGTAAAAATGTGATGTTGAATTAAACAGTCATGTATGTTTACCTATGCCTTGAACTGTATATGTAGTTTTGATCCAATTTATCTTTACTGTTTAAACATCTAATTATTTACTAATGGCTGTAATTTCACATTTCTATGTAGCAGAATTTGAATTTTTGCATTTAAGATTTCTATGGATACAAGCTTGGTACCAATCACAGATGGCCCGAAAGGGGGCACTGTGGTCTGTATTTCCATTGTTAAGGATCTTTTCTCTCTCTCAAAAGCTTTGAGCTGATACATTGACATTGACTGCACACAAATTGCAAAAGGGACCATCAGTTTAATGTTTCTGATGTTTTGTTCATTTTTTAAGCTAGTGAACAGATCTTTCAATGTGATGTACAAACTTGTACAGGTTTAGCTTTAAGTATGACGAATAAAATGGTATGTAATAGGGCAGAAAACATTTTTTTTTTTTTTGTCATGCTGCCTCTTTTAGTTTTTTTCTTTTGTATCTGTATAACGGTTCGTAAAATCACTGGGAGACTTAATTCCAGCAAGATGGATCAGTCTAATTTCTAACTTAACCTTACTGAATAATTTCTTTGCTCCTGTGTGCACATACACAAAATAGAACTTGATGTCAAGTGGGAGCAACAGCAAACACCATTTTTGATTATAACCCATGTTATTAGGTGCTGATAGAACATAATGGTCCTGGTAATTAACCATCATGAATTATTCATGGATGAACACTGTTCCAACAACCTGTTGCAATGCATGTGAATGAAAAGAGAAAGTGATTTTCTCTCCTCCTGGTCTCCCTTCCTTGCCCCCCCAGCATCTCTCTTGGGTCATTCCTCTGTTTTAAGGAAAGGACTTGGTATTTTCTAGTGTACTCTTCCATAGGGTCTTTCAGAGCCTATTACAGAAAGGATCAAAGCCAGCATCCCGTTATATGTCTGAGTTAGTGACACTGTTTTCCTTGCAGATACAGCTTGTTCCACTCTTGACACTTTAGTTGTTGAGGTCCGATGCCGTATCTGCTTCAGGAGAGCCTTCTCTCCCAAAGGTCATCAGTCACTCTCAGACCTAAGGCAATGCCTGTTTGTTGTCTCCACGATTCCACTTTATCTTCTTTTGATAATGAAGTTCCTGATGCCTTCCTGAGTCAGTAGGATGTTCAGAGGTACGCAAACCAGGCATCTCGTATCTGTCCACAAGCAATGGCAACAGTTCTGTTACTTCTCTTTACCCTAGTCTTCTGTATTATTGTTTTGTATTTCTTTCTGCCTCTGTGGGAAAGGACACTATAGTGTTAGGTAGGCATATTGAAGACTGAATGTGTACTGCATGATGATGTTGCCTAGTGTTATCTTGATTTTTATTTTTAAGCCACTGCCAGGCTTGTCACCAAAAAGAAATTAGTTTCTCAGATTTGTACTTTACTTCATCCAGACTCTAAACTTTAATCTTGCTTCTATTTTTACCTTAGCTAATCAGAGTATGGCATTCCCTATCTATTGGGATCTCCTTAGCTTTTTTTTTCCCTGAATAGTAACTGGCCGTAATAACAATGACAGAAGATGCAAGTTATTGAATTTGTCTCTTTTATAGGCCTTACAGCCTATTTGTCTTAATGAGCCAAGTACTATTTCTTAATCCAAGTTGGTTCCAACATATTTCTGTTGAATGACTTACTGCTATATAAGTTATTAAAATGTTACGGTTGTGTCCTGTTCATCTAGAAACTATGCCTATTGACAAAGATGCTTTAAACACATAAAATTTCTCAGCAGCTTCTTAAATTTGAACTGCTCTAATTTTGACAACTTAAGAAAAAAAAAATCACTCTGTGTTTTAGGGGTTTTGTTCATGTATGTATTTTTATCAGTTCAGTAGTGAATTAGTGCTGATTATAAAATAGTTTAAAGTTATTTTTAGCTTATTTAAATTCTAGCTAATATACCACTTAGTTTTTTCCTTATTGTTTTCAGAATTAATTTATTTTCACTGTTCATTTTATGATAGTGAATTAAAGGGCTAGAACATAGTATTGCCAGCTATTTTAATTTTTTTCTGATAATAGCACTGAGGTGATTCTTTCTAATTTTT